GCGCAGCCGAGCAGGAGAGGCGCGGGGCTCCCTGGCAGCGGCAGGGAAGTTTATGGGGACCCCGGCTGGCCCCTCGCCCCTGTCCGCCGGCCTCCCCACCTGGGACAAGTCTCGCCCCCGCAGCCCCTCTTCACCGTGTGTCTTCGGCGGCCCACGCCCCCGGTCCGCGCTGCCCACCCGGGCCAGAGCCAGCCCCGGCTGCTGCCTGCACACAGCCCAGGCCATGCCCAGCTAGCCCCCGGCAACTTTCCCTTCCCCTCCCACGCTCCTGGTAGTTGCCCGACCCTCCTCACTCCATCCCCCCTCCACACATCCCTCCTCTTAACCTCCTCCCTCCATGGAGGGATCCAATGGGGGAAGGAGGGGGCGGAGTCGGGGTGGGGGGGGGCCCTGAGCGCCGGAGTGGAGGGCAAAATTGCTTTTTTGTCCAGTGTCCCGACCGAACATCGGTCGGGACGCGGGACAAAGAAGGAAATATTGGGACAGTCCCAATAAAATCGGGACGTCTGGTCACCCTAACTGGGGCAGGAGTGGAGCACTCACTGAGAAAAATAAGTCACTGACTCTGACTGGGAGAGAAAGAGAGAGCTGTTAGTTCTAAAATCTTGAAGGACATAGTAACCAGAAACAATCAATCTACATATTACACTTCTGTTGAATAATAAGTCAATTTTAAAGGCAAAATATTTTGATAAACTTCTTGATACGCTTTTTGTCTTATGTATCCAGCACTTTTAAGGTAGCGTTATTAAATAATAAAAAAGCCCTTAGAATGCTGTTTTTGCACTTTTAATTAGATTTGAATTTCTATCCAAATACAACTTGACAAATCACAAGTAAAACAATTCATCATCTAGTAAATAAGAAATGCATCCTTCACAATTTTATAACATAATAAAAAAGTAAAACTTCAGAATCCAAATAAATGTAAGTTAAACTATTGCAAACAATGTGTATACGTATAGTGTATCCACCTGGTTAGCAAAAAAATACCACCAAGTTTAATATGAAGGCTATATTTAGTTGCAAATCAATGTTCTAATGGTCCCCAACCAATGAGAATCAATCTTCCTTTAGAAAAATAACTAGAAAGCACAAACACAAAATAGATTAAAATTGCTTATTTAAATCAAGGTTTTCTGCTTGCTGATTTAAATCTTGATTAGTATAGATGATTTAAATCAATCCACTATGATCTGTGCTAGTATAAGTTGCAAGTGAGAGAGTTACAAAACTGCTTGCCTGGTAACAATAGTAAAGCAAGTGATGACGAAGGAAGGAAGGAAGGAAGAAAAAGACTGGGGCATACTAGCCAACATGCTGAATTGCCAATGGAAGAAACTTCTCTGGAATCACATTTCTTCAAAAGTTTAAATATTTCTATTCTAGTAATTACCACATAGCAATGTTAAATGACTAAATTGAGGGCATCTCTGGGATGAGTTTTGGGCAGCAATATATTTATAGTTGTGTGTGTTTATAAATGGACACAATCTCCATTTAAAAAACAACAACAACAACAACAAAGTTTAAAAAAGTAATTTCAGATACTATTCATACTCTTGTTTCCCTACCAACACTGGTGATTTTATAATCACATTTTTCTATTTAAAAATATTTGATGGGTGTGGAAGACATGCTATAGTGTTATGACTGTAAAATAAGGACAAACTGTTTAAGTAACCTTTTGTTTGAGTTTATTTTCTTTAAATTTTGTATGGGATGGTCCCTTGTGTATGTGTTTTTTTTTTTTAACTGAAAAAATGCAGAAGACTTCAGAGAGTGACATACATTCCAATAACCTACCCTGAGTTTTAGATGAGCAGGGAAATCAAAAATTGTAGGAACAGCATCCACTCTAAGTCGTCTAGTTTGTCCAGTTAGGTCAAAACAGGAGGATTCAAAATGCTTTGAGCAAAGAAAAGTGTGTTTGCCCGGCACAAAATTATTGCGTTTTACAAGACGTATCCATTCCTTTCTTCTCTTGGGATCCAAGGGAAATCTAAGAGAAAAGACAATAGAAATAATTAGATAAGATATCACTAGTATTATTTATACAACAATTATTTGGGGGAAGTTCTATGGCCTATGTTATACAAGAAGCCAGAAAACAAGACATAGAGGGTGTGGCCCAGTTGATGCAGTGGAAGTAAGTTGGTGCAGCGATCCAGGAACCAGAGCTGGAGTCAAGAGAGGGGTTGGAACAAGCCAAGAGTAGGGCTGGGAGCTAAGGTGGAACAAGGGCAGGGCTGGAGCAGACTGAAGCCTGTCACCACTATCAGGTAGTGGTGTTCCAAGCCATAAAATCATGTTGGGCTGACCAAGCTGCTGTGTCTCCTGTGAGGCCGGTATATGCCCGGAGAGTCACCAGACCAGCTCCTGGCTTGTGGAATGGCTGCGCTGAGCACAGGAATGACTCACCCCTGCATATGGCTTAATGAGGCTCTAGTTCAGGGATGGCTCATTACCTCACCATCAGTCCCTTCTGGTCTTGAAATCTATCCAGTCTTTTTTTTACTTTGATTGCAGATAAATAATAATAATAATAATAAGTAAGGGGGGGGGGGAGAGACTTTGGGGAAAAACAAACCAAATCCACTTTGGGGATTCTGAGTGCTATTGTAATATAAATATAAAATAATAAAGTAAATTAAGTTTGTGTTTTGTTCAAAGAAACCCATTGAAATTCATCTTTACAAGGAATATAAAATGACAATGTTTCCCTCAAGTTTTAGTGTGACTTGACAGGTCTGTTCATAGAAGTTAGCTTCCAAATACTAAGTCCAAAAAACACAAGTGACTGAACTAAGATTTAAATATGACTGATAAGGGAGTTTTTAAAATGGGGGTTGTGCCCTTTTTTTTCTTCCATGTATAAATAAAGTCTAAGAGGTTCAACTGTCAAATGTTAAAATTTGTGTTTCAGCACAAAAATACCAGGAAGAATATCTGACCTTCCATAGTGTGACTAAAGGGCTGCTTGAGCGTCTCAGAGGGGCATACTGAGAGTTCACCCCTTGTCTGAAGAGGTGAGGTTGTTGGTTCTTTAACAAAGGCATTCTTTCTCCCAGCTGTTAATTGGACATTAGAGTTTAGAAGATGTCAAAAGAAACAAATGGCAGCTTTAGACAGGACCAACAATTTCTTCCTTTCTCAAATGCTCAACTTTCATTCTTGTTATACGGCAGATCTGAATGTCAAGGGGAAAAAAACCTGGCCAAGCCTTTGAGATCTTGGTTCGAGGCTAGGCAACTATAACAATAGTTACCCGGAATTCACTTCTTTAAAAAAATCATTTGATTGGCTCGGAACTCCCTGAGCTCTCCATAGCGCTGGCTAAACTACACCAGCACCACACCGGCGGCCCGGAGGGGGCTGAACCATGTCTACACGGGTGACTGGTGTGGGGAGTTCTTCGACCGAAGCACACAGCCCTTCGGCCCGCGCAGACAGGGGAGCCGCCCCGCGCGGCAGCGGCGCCTTATAGTCCGCTCTCAGGGCGGCGGAAGGACCGCTGGTTAGAAAGCCGAAGGCGCGAACACAAACCCGGCTTCTCCAAGAGCAGAGAGCCGCCCGGAGAGCCAGGCCTAACCCTCCCCCACCCCAGCCCGGGCGGTACCGGTGGAAGCTGACGTTGACGCTCTTGTTGTAGACGGCGGCGCACCCCGCCGCCGCGCAGCTGGTCGGCATCTTCTCTCGCAGGCGGCACACGGGGTGGTCTGGGGAGACTCGCTCTTTCCCTTTAATAAGATGGCGGCGTCCCGGTGGCTCCATCCAGCTCCTTCACCAACATGGCGGGAGATGCCGCTGCCCTTGGAGACCGTTATCCACCCCCGCCCCATTGCAGGACGGCCGGGCTCGACTCGTTGCCGGCTCTCCCCTCTACAACGGACGCCCCCCGTCTGCTAGTCAGAACTACAGCTCCCATGATACAGCGCGCGGCCCCTCTCTATGACGCAATCTACTATGGCTTCCTTCCCCTCCAGAGGGGGAGTGAGAGAGGGGAGTCATTAGTTCTCGCGAGACTACAGCTGGCGGGGGGAGGGGTAAGGCGGGGGGATCCTGAAGACAGACGTGGTGGGGAAGTTTTGGGGCTGGGCTACTCTGGAATCGAAAGCGTTTGTACCGCTACGAGCCGCTCCCTGCTTCTCCGTTGCGCCTGGACCGGGTCCATGGCGGCGGCCACAGCCCCTGCCGAGGCGGCGCCGCTGGAGCCTAGCGGTCTGTCCCCGAAGGAGGAGGGGGAGCTGGAGGACGGCGAGATCAGCGACGATGACAATAACGGCTCCGAGCCCGCCAGCGGCCTCATCAGCACCAGGCCCTACTCGAGGCGCAGGCCGCCTCCCGGGCTCCGCGGCGGCGCCTCCCTCTCCTCCTCGCGCCGCTTCCCCCGCTCGCGGCACCAACCGCCCCCGGAGCTCGGCCACCTGCACGGCCACGGCGGCTACCGGCCCAAGGAGTCGTTCCGCTCTCACCCGCCGCCGCTGCCTTCGTCGCGGATGCCTCCGGGCTCCCACTCCCACTCCGACTCTGGCCCCAGGCTCTCGTTCTGGGAGCGCAGCCACAACGCGCTGGATCGGTTCCGCTTCCGAGGCAGGCCTTACCGCGGCGGGGGCCGCTGGGGCAGGAGCCGGGGTGGGGGAGATCGGGGAAGTAACCCGCCAGGAAGGCCGCCGGGGGGCGGGGGAGGACCCGGATTCAGCTCCAGCCAGGGCTGGAGGGAGCCCTCCCCTCGGAAGTGTATCCTTGTGCGGGACAGCAAGGGGGGAGAAGTGGCCTCTTCCCACTGCTCAGGACGGGCCTGGCTGTGTCCCTTTTTCCCCGACAGCGATGTGTGGCTGGGACCCGGCTGTGGGGAAGGGGAATGGCTCATCACTCAGGCCCTATCTACAAGGCCTCTCATAAGCGTCTCGAACAGCATAATACCCTGAGCACGCTCCCATCCATATCTAAGGGCTGCGCCTGAGGGTCGCATTCCCCAGGGTGCGTGAAGAGGGGTTGGTGTGAAGCTGGGTCACTGATCCTGATGGGCTTTGTTAGGAGTAAAGCCTGAAGGCTGATGCAAAACTCAGTGGGCTAGGTTCCATGTGGCCTTGTCCTCCCCAGCCTGACAGGAGACCTTCAAAGCCCCAGGGAAGGGAGCCTTAACCTAAGTACTTCGACTAATTATCTGAGCAGTAAAATTCTAAAGTTGCTAATTTCGCCTCTTGGGCAGTGATGAGTTCAGTACATCTCCTAGTCTGCTTTCAGCATTGTCAATTGTAGTGCAGAGTTGTGACTTCTTTGAATCTTGGTTGTTGCTGTGCTTTGCTTTAATTCTACTTTAATTGGGAGATGTATGCATAGCACATATATCAAGCCCAGTGTTGTCTGATATGGCCATTTGAAACAGAGTCCTGTTTGCTTTAGAATACAAAGCCATACAAGCTGTGACTGTTGTACCCAGTTGCATGATCAGATGTTAAATAGTGTTGGTCAGACAGTCTGGACAAAGCCTTAATGGTTCTTCCTATGGCAGGTGAAATGGCAAAACCAGTGAGGAAGCTTCTCTCACTTTAAGTTGTTTAGGTCTTTGTCCTGGTCTACAGTGGGAAAACCATGCATTGGTGGAGGGTCAGGAATGGGCGCACTGAACTGGTGTGCTTTCAGAAACTTTTACACCCTTTATGATGATGAAACTAATGATATTTTATTTTTTAAAAGAAATAACAATTGAGAAGATTCTAGCCCTGCTTTACTGGGTTTTAGACATAATTTATTGGTAAACATTACACAGGAGGAGCTAATGTCACTGCTGCTTAATGAACTGAGATTTTGAAATATCATTTATAGGCTCTAAAGTAGAAATAGGATTTCAAAATGAAATGCTTAATCATTTTTTGTCCTTACCCCAACCTTTATCACCTGCCACAGTTGATATTACAACACTCTAAAATAGTGCAGCTACCTGTACTACTGTTGGTATTAGTGGAGTGGAGTGAGGACTTCTGGACACATGCTTTCAGCAGCACCCTTCACTTCCCTGCTAAGAGAATGATGTGATAGTCTACACTGCAAGTGGACAGATGCAAAATATAGTTGTGTGGATGTTGCAGCCTCGGAAAAGGCTTGGGCCAGCCACCTGAGCTGAGACCCAGGCCTGAGCCTCTGCCCGTGCCACAATGTCCACACAGCTATTTTTAGTATGCTAGTGTGAGTCTGTCTACCTGTCTGGGAGGTTTGCTCCAAGCTTCAGGGTAGATATACGCATATGGGCTCTGGAGCCCTCTTTGGAATTTCCAGTGGCAAGTAGTCCTTTGAGAAGTCTTTAGTATGTGTGATCTCTGACAGGGAGAAGTGGTATCCCCCATTTATGGAACCAGGACTTTGTGCATACGTGGCTCCAGCAGCCCCTCCTTTTTGAACAGCACCAGGAAATATTTCTTAATGTCTCAGGAGCCTCAGTGATGTCAGTAGTCTGGATTGTGAACTCTTTTGTAGAGTATGGAGATTAATTGTTGGGTGTGGAAGAAATCCCCATCTGAGGTTCAGCTAACCTTTAGAAGGGAATACATGTGGGAGTCTAAATTCCTGTTAAAGATAAGTACTTCAATTTTGTCTTCAGTACTCCTCCCATTTTTCTTTGGCTTTAACTTTTAGTTCAGTGGGTAAACTTTGCAACTGATGTTCATTCACAGTATACTTATCAATTCCTTACATCTTTAACCAATTCTTGGTTTAGTTCTAAGGGGAGCACAGGCTCTGGTTCAAGAGGTGAATATAGCCAGACCACTCAGTAATCATAACCATAATGTAGGGGGGAGGGATAGCTCAGTGGTTTGAGCATTGGCCTACTAAACCCAGGGTTGTGAGTTCAGTTCTTGAAGGGGCCACTTAGGGATCTGGGGCAAAATCAGTACTTAGTCCTACTAGTGAAGGTAGGGGGCTGGACTCAATGACCTTTCAGGGTCCCTTCCAGTTCTAGATAGGTATATCTCCATATATTATATTCATGTAATTAAATTTAACATCCTTTTAAGGGTAAAAATGCCAAAGAAACCCACCACAGTAGCATTTAACTTCAAAAGGGAAACTAGCTAAACGGAAATTTAAAATGAATAGTCTCAAGAGTGAAATACCTGTAGCCTGCATGGAGACTTTAAAAATCACTGTGATAGAGGCTCAAACTAAATATATACCTCCAATAAAGAAAAGTAAGAGAATCCAAAAAAAAAAAAATGCCCCCATAGCTAAACAGCAAAGTAAAAGAGGTGATTAGAGTCAAAAATGCATTCTTTAAAAGATGGGAGTCAGATCCTAGTGAGGAAAATAGAAAGGAGCATCAACTCTGTCAAGTCAAGTGCAAAGGTATAATAAGGTTAGGCCAAGAAAGAATTATAAGAGCAACTAGTTAATGACACAAAAACTAACAGCAAAATTTTTTTTAAGTACCTCAAGCAGGAAGCATGCCAACCTGTCGCTGGGACTGCTGGCCAATCCGGTGCTAGAGGAGCACTCAAAGACAAACCATTGCGGAGAAGCTGAATGAAGTCTTTGCATCAGTCTTGACTGTAGAGAATGTGGGGAACATCCCCACACCTGAGACATTCTTTTTAGATGACAAATCTGAGGAATTATCTCAGATTGAGGCATCAGTAGAGGAGGTTTTGGAACAAACTCATAGAGAATAATAAGTCACCAGGACTCAAATGGTATTCACCCAAGAGTGCTGAAGGAAACTCAAATTTGAAATTGCACAAGTACTAACTGGTATGTAAACTATCATGTAAATCAGCCTTTGTGTCTACACGCACACACATGGCTGGAGAATAGCTAATGTAATGCTGATTTTAAAAAAAGGCTTCAGAGGTGATCTTGATAATTACAGGCTGATAAGCCTAACTTTAGTACCAGGCAAATTTGGTTGAAGCTATGGTAAAGAACAGAATTGTTGGGTGCATAGATAAACACAACATGTTGGGGGAAGAGTCATCACAGCTTTTGTAAAGAGAAATCATGCCTCCCCAAATCTATTAGAATTCTTGGAGGATGTCAGCAAGCATGTGGATATAGTGTATTTGGACTTTCAGAAAGCCTTTGGCAAGGTCCCACACCAAAAGCTCTTAAGCACAATAAGCAGTCATGGGATAAGAGGAAGGTCCTCTCATGGATCAGTAATTGGTTAAAAGAAAAGAAACAAAGGGGTAGGAATAAATGGCAAGTCTTCACCATGGAGAGAGGTGAACAGTGGGGTACCCCAAAAATCTGTGCTGGAACCAGTGCTTTTGAACATATTCGTAAATGATCTGGAAAAGGAGAAACACAATGGGATGGCAAAGTTTGCAAAATTACTCAAGATGTTTAAGTCCAAAGCAGAGCTACAGAGGGATCTTACTAAAGTGGGTGACTGGGCAACAAAATGACAGATAAAATTCAATGTTGATAAGTGCAAATTAAGCACATTGGAAAAAATAATCCCAACTGCACATACAAAATAATGGGGTCTAAATTAGCTGTTACCACTCAAGAAAGAGATGTTGGAGTCACTGTGGATAGTTCTCTGAAAACATCCACTCAATTTGCAGCGGTAATTTAAGCTAACAATATTAGGAACTGTTAGGAAAGGGTTTGAAAATATAATGTCACTTTATAAATCCATGCTACACCCACACCTTAAATACTGTGTGCAGTTCTGTCACCCCATCTCAACAAAGATATATTAAATTTGAACTGATGCAGAGAAGGGCAACAAAAATGATTAGGAGTATGGAACAACTACCAAACGAGAGATTAAAAAGACTGGGACTTCATTTTAGAAAAGAGACTACTTAAGGGGGAATATGGTAGACCGCTAAAAAATCACGAATGGAATAGAGAAGTGTTATTTACCCCTTCACATAACACATGGACTTGGGGTCACCCAATGAAATGAATAGGCAGCAGGTCTAAAACAAAGTAAAGTAACGTAGCATACTGTCAACCTATGGAACTCACTGCCATGTGATGATGTGAAGGCCAAAAGTATAACTGGGTTCAAAAATCAGATAAGTTCATGGAGGATAGGCCCATTAGTGGGTATTAGCCAAGGTGGTCAGGGTCAGAATCCCATGCTCTTGGTGTCCCTAAATCTCCAACTGCTAGAAGCTGGGACTGGACGATGGAGTGTATCCGTCGAGATTGCCCTGTTCTGTTCATTCCTTCTGAAGCATCTGGTTCTGGTCACTCTCAGAAGACAGGATATTAGGCTAGATGGACCATTGGTCCTACCCAGTATGATTGTTCTTATATTTTGTACATTTTTTTTTTTGGCTGAAATTTCAAATTTGTAGATTAAATGGGGAGGTAAGTTCCAAACAGTTTCTGTTGTTTGTTTTTCATCAGTCTTTAGTTGCTGAGTTGAGGGTTTCTTTAATCTGCCTGGCTCTTCTGCTCAGATTGAAGGTTTTGCAGAATGTTTTGAAGGATAACAGCTGTAGCCTGTCTTTTTTAATCTCCATGTATTTGTATCGGTGTTGCCTGTCCTTAACCTAGTCCTAGATAATATTTGTGTAAACGTTTTAAATTGTCTTTTTAAGAATTCCTCACCACTTCCACTCTTGAGACACATTAGGGCATTTCCCCTACTATTTTTTACCTATTCTTTTAAAAAAACAAAAACAAAAAAACCATGCTTCTCTAATCCTCTTAGTGTTCCTCACCTTTAGGCCATCCCACAGGAGAGAAGAGAAATAAATACAGAATAGTTCTAAATAGCTTACATTAAGCAGACTTAAAAAAAAAATACATAAAAATACTTCTAAAAAAACCCCAAACTTTAGGTTTGTCTGCTAATGCCCCTCCAATTACCAGTGTAAGGGGCATTTTTACTTTTTACCTTTGCAATGTTTATCAATTTGCAAATATCCCACTTATGGTGGTTTGGAATTACCTATTACAGAATTCTGAATTAGTTTGATTTCTTATTAATATATATTTACAGGGCTTCTTCAAATCATAATAGGCACTTTTGTATATACTATCTTAGTTTTTTGGTTTTGTTTTGTACACTGTTTAACCTGGTTGATCATTATGCTGAGGCTTGACATGTTATGGCAATAGTAAATGTTTTGCTAGAATAACCTAAGCAGTTTTTGGAGGATGTTTTTCAAAGATAGTTAAACCTCTCTCAGAGATGAACATACTGATATGTTCAGGCCACTCGTGCCCGCATGGTCATGAGGGTGGCTTCGGTTTGAAATGCTGTGCAGATAATTATGGTTCTGTATCTGAGTACACAGCATGTTTAAATTCACAGATTACAGAAATGTCATTGTTCTTTAATTTTAGCTCTGTTGTTAGTACACATCAGCGCTAGTTGAAAAGTATCTTAAATTATCATAACATTCACCTGTTGCACAAGGAGCAAGGCTGACTCATTATCAGGTTAAAACAATTTTTTTGCAGTACAGATAAAACTTTTGGAGAATTAAGGCGTTTAGTCTAATTAATGCAGAGTCCAACAGAAGAGTTATTAAATAGCTATGCTAGCATTCTAAAGTTTAGACTAGGGTAAAAGAAGTTCTAATGTAGATGTTTTAGTAAACTCAAAGTGCCAGAGGGTCTTCTGCTGTTTTTGGTTCACACTGAACTGTGCCAAATAGGTTGGTTTAAATTTACAAGAACTCATGTTTATTTGGATAAGAAACTATGATAGGCGCTTAGTTTAGCTATAACCTGTCCAAATAGATGTAATCTTTGGGTCCTGGTTTCATGTAAACAATAAAGCACAAGGAATATCTTAAGTGTCTTCAGCAGTCTGTAAATGCACCAATAGTGTGTAATACACGTTGGTCTAACAATGTATTAGAACAGTGTTTCCCAAACTGGCGTCGCCGCTTGTGTAGGGAAAGCCCCTGGCGGGCCGGGCCGGTTTGTTTACCTGCCCTGTCCGCAGGTCCGGCCGATCACGGCTCCCACTGTATTAGAAGGCTGTTTAGATCATTAGTATTAGTAGCAGTAATAATATAATCTGGTTCTCTATATCAGATTTCAAATACCTTTTCAAAGGAGGCAAATACTTTGATTTCTTAATAAATATATTTACATGACTTCTTCAAATCATAATAGGCACTTTTAGTATATACGATCTTAATGTTAATAATCATTACTATAAAAATCTTCCATGTGTCACTATGGCAGGAAATACAGTCTTTAATAAGAGAATTCTGCATTCTCCTTGTGGAATTGTGTATGTGCACTTAAGGCCTGATCCATGAAAGTCATCAGGAGTCTTTCCATTATCTGCTCTGGGCTGTGGGTCAGGCCCCTGTTGCCAAGCCAGAACCCTATAGAAAAGCGGTGTCCATTGGGAATGCATGCACAACCCCTTGTGAACCAAAAGGTTTGGTCCTGAGCAGTGGCTCCAAAGCAAACTACTGTATTCCTGACTGTTCTGATGATAGGTCCTGGAGTCCTTGGCTCCTTGTGGTGTACTTTTCTTAGTTGTTGGTGGTACTTATCTGTGGCTTTAGCTCAGATGTTGGGAAATGGTTGCTACAGATTTTAACTGCTGTGGCTTGGTCTCAGCATTTTATGGATGGTTAAACTGTGTCAGAATGAAGTTAAGTAACTTATTCAAGACCACATAGAGAGAGTCAGTGGCTGAGTCATACTTCTGTCAGAGAAATCTGACGCTCACTAATTTGCTTTGAGCAAGTCTAACCAGCAGGTGAGCTCCTCCCTATCAGCCTCCACCATTGCAGTTCCAGTGAGTTGGAGGTTGTGTTTGGAGAGAGAGAAGACTTGCTGAGCAATTCCTTGAGCTGTAAGAGTAAACAGAAGTCTTAAAAAATTAGACACAAAATGTGGGATTTTTCTACATTTGAGAACAGTTGTAAAGTAGCCTATAAAAGAAATATGAATTAATGAAATTGAGCAGGAAGATGCTACTTGACAGTGGGTAAGTGTGCTGAGTATGTAAACTTTATATTCCATTCTTAAGACTAATGTGTAAAATATGCATATTGTTACGTGTTTGACAAATTAAGTTCTGTTTCTGAAAATGGGGAGGAGAGTTCAATATGAAGTTAGAATACAAAATTATTCCAGTGGGAGAATACATTTTAATTTGTTACCTATTGTTGCTTAATCTTCATTGATTGTATCTTAATCTCTATGATATTAAGGGCAGAAATGGATTCAATTTAGTTTTCTTAACAAATAATTCAGCCAAAACTTTTGGAAGATCCCCATCTAGAAAACAGAACTACTCATCTAAAAATGAAAACTGTGTGGAAGAAAGCTTTGAGGATCTTCTTCTGAAATACAAGCAGATTCAGCTTGAACTTGAATATATTAATAAAGATGAAAAACTGGCTCTGAATAACAGAGAAGAAACTGTGCACCAAGATGATGCTAAAACAGCAAACGCTGAGGACCAAATAGCTGTAGAAAATGTCAGTATTACAAAAGAAGCTATAAAAGAAGTGTCTCCTGAGGAGAAAAATCAGGTTATAGCCTTTCAGGCATTTGAACTGAAACCTCTCAGGCAAAAACTGTCTACACCGGCTGAGAGGAACAGATTGAAAAAAACTAAAGATGGAACAAAACAGCTGTCACAAAAATCTGAACTCACAGAATCCAGTCAAGGTAATTATCGAACATTCCTGTCTGCATTAACCTGTTAAAGCAAGAATCTTTGTGATTCTACTAGATATTTGGGAAAGTTGTGCCTCTTTGAAACTTGGTATTGTTAAAAGAAAGTGGTTTTATATCAAATAACTTATTTTAAATTTGGAACTTGTCTTGAAATATAACATCTTCAACATTTAATTAAAGCTTGATCTGAAATATAAAATAAATTATAAATATTTTCACAAAATTTTCTAACTTGAATATAAATAACTTGTTTGTAGAGAGAGTAGGGCAGGAGAACAACATTAGAATATTTCCCTTCTGTTATATTTAGGTTTTCAACACTATATTAGTGCTTGAGACTCAGAAAGTGAAATTGATGAATCACTAGTTGTCTAATCAGCCTTCTTTCCCTATCCACATTAACTAACTATAGAAAGGAAACATATAGCACATATTACAATACATTGTTATTAAAATCCAAACAATTTCAGTTTTAATAGCCTAAAGAAACACTTTTTAAAAAATACATAGTTTTATTACTATGGTAACATCACCTGAAGGCCAAACATGGATGTCATACTTGGTGGCTCCTGACTGTGGCATCCTAAATAAAAGGCTCTGAGTGATTATATTATGCTATTTAGTGCTGGTCTTTTTAACTGAAAAATGGTAATTTAATTTTGACAAGCCCAAAATTGATTACTGTTATAACATGTGTTGTCTTTATTTAAAAAAAAACGAACAAAATAACCCTTGAAAACGAGAGCTGTGGCAGTCTTACATTTCACTGGGAGCATTGCTGTTAACAGTGTAAAAGAATAGGTGGAATAACTAGTGCTAAGAGCTGATGTACTGCTTTTGAAATGTAGTTTGTTTTCTTGAGTTTTTTTTTTTTTTAAGCTAAATTGACAACCTGAGGCATCATGCTCATAACTGGAATCTTGGAATTTCATTTAATCATCTCTTATGTTTTCCTTCTCTTTTCCTTACTGACTTCCTTCTTGTGAGACTAGAATGTGCAATGGCAAAAGTGTCTCTGTCAAGCTGAAAGGGGAGGATTGAAATTTAGTGACAATCATATACTCTAGAGTGAGAGTTTTTATCTCGTAAGTGTTTCTTGTAGTGTAATAAATGTTATTTGTTCCTGCCCAGAAGAACTTAAGTTGTAATATAAAACAAAACACACGGTAAGAGTTCAGGTAAGGAAAAGAAGTGGAGAAATCATTGGGGGAAAGAGGTAGGGAAGATTTGTGTAAGAAGTGGGTTTGAAAGAGGGCCAGATAGAAGCATGATGAACAGAAGTGGGAGGATGTTGTAAACTGTAGACACAGCACAGAAGAAAGCATGAATCTGAGAAGATACAAAGCATCAGAGCATGAGAAATGTAAGACAAAGGCATTGAGAGTTAAGATGATTAACTTGAGCATGATACAACAGGAGATAAGAAACCAGTAAAGGAAGGGAATGAGAGAATAAGTGGTTAAGGAAAATGGTTTTACCTATAGTACTTTAGATAAACTGGACAGGGGAAGGTGAAAGGTACGGAGACCCAAAAGATTATTACAGTAATCAAGGTAAAACGATAAAGGTGTGGATGTGGCTTTAATACCAGGCTTAGAGAAGCAGTCATATCTTTGTGATTGAGCAAGAATGAATATAATATAGGACGAGTAAATATGTAGAGAAAGGAGTAAAACTGACACACCTGTGAGTCTGGGAAATAAAAGGAGCTATTTAAAAATAAACACCCCCTCCCAACCCCCAAATTCATAAAAATAAAAACGTAAACACAAGATGAATTAACTCTGTATTGCAGGACAGAGGGCTGGAAGGGATCTCCTGCTTTGAATCCAGTCCTCTGTGGTTACAGACCACTCCATATATCATTCGTTCATAAACTTATCAAACTCCAGCTTAAAACTAAGTAGGTTGTTTGTCCCCACTATTCCTATTGTAAGGTTGTTCCAGAATCTCACTCTTCTGATGGTTAGAAGTGTTCTAACTTCCAGCCTAAATTTATTCCTGGCCAGTTTATACCCATTTGTTCTTGTGCCAACTTGCCCTTGAGCTTAAATAGCTCTTCTTCCTCCCTCATGTTTACCCCTCTGTATTTATGGGGAGCAATCATATCCCCTCTCAGCCTTTTTTTTGCTATTGGATGTATGCTAGTGGTAAAATGAATGCTGTAATCCTTGGATGCACAATTTATTTTTAATTCATATATAGTATCTAACATGGTAGGCGCTAACCCCATTACATAAAAAATGTTAAAAGCAGACAGTTTACGTAAGCCACTGTTAAATTATACTTGCATGACCAGTACCACGAGTATCTCCAGTATGCCTTAGAAGGTCAAATGATGATATACAACCCAAATTAATAATCACAATGCATAGTAATTAACCAGAAACAAAACAGAATAAATGGGCTTTGCACCACACCCTGAGACTTATCAGAACTTGGATTCTGGTGGACACTCAAGGGAACACATTGTAAAAGCAGAGCGTTCAGCTAAGAGCCCTGTCACTAATCTTAGTTTTATCCCAAGATCTGATAGCAAGAGCATCCCAAGTGATTTCAACAACTGTAAATTGATCTCAAGTGAAGTAGGTATTTCTAAGATGAATGAGTGTATACTATTCAGGGCAGCATACAGTGCATAGGAGATTATAAGAAAATGTCCTATATCACAGGGTATTTATATCAAATGCTATTCCAAGGCCCTTATGGGTGCTTATAGCTGAAGAGCTATTTGCGGGCTTGTTTGTTAAAACACCATTGGGGCACAGCTGCAGCTTTCAGTGTAGACAAGACCTATGCCGATGGGAGGGCTTCTGTCAGTGTAGATAATCTATATCACCAAGAGGTGGTAAGTAGGTTGACTAGAGAATTCTCTGTCAACACAAGGGGGTTGGGTTGGTTTAACTGCCTTGTGGATTTTTCACACTCCGAGTAATGTAGTTATACTGACCTAATTTCCTTGTGTAAATCAGGCCTTAATTCTAAAACAAAGTTTTAATGCTAATTTTAACTGTCCTCCTTTGACTCAGGTGGAGGCTCTATATCTTCCTCTCTGTGGAATACCCCAAGGTGCTGTTTGTAGCCTTATTCTGTTCATCATATATTTTTACCATATGACTATAGGCTGTGCGATATGCATTAGTCTTGGTCCATCTCTGGGGAGAAGCAGGTCTACACTATAGTGGGGATTGACGCTCTGAGATCGATCCACCGGCGGTCGATTTACTGGGTCTAGTAAAGACTTGCCAGATCGACTGCAGATCGCTCTCCGGTTGACCCCTATACTCTACCCCCGACAAGAAGAGTAAGGTTAGTTGACGGGAGATTTTTCCCGTAGACCCTGCGGTAACTCGACCTAAGGTATGTCGACTCCAGCTATGTTATTCACATAGCTGGAGTTGCGTAGCATAGGTTGACTTACCGCGATAGTGTAGACATAGCCTTAGGGAGCATGTGTTCCACATTGTAGAAACTTCTATCACCACAATTAGCACTAATTGTACCTTTTCCCACCTTGAATCCATGGATTGAAGGGGCATGGAGAGAAACTCTAAGTGTTGAGGCATGTGGTATTAGGAAGAATACTTGTAAATGTTCTGTGGCTAACTAGGCTATAGTTTGGAAGTGAAAAGGATGGAAGTGTGATTAATAAATCCAATAATGTTCTCAATCTGCATCAGCTATATTTTAGTGGTGTCTACTGTTGCCTTTATGCTTCAGGGCTTATTAGCGTTTTAATGTAAAAGTTTATAACTCAGCTATGCTGTTAGCTTTCTTTGCATACCAAGCTTCACTTAGTGTAAAGTTTTAACCCAAGAATCAGTACTGCAATCCTTTTGTGGTCCCACCCCCCACGACAAAAGAAGCTTGTTCAGTTAATTTTTTAAATCTTTAAAGTGGTTTCAGATGCTTTTACAATGTCTTCCATGTGCTTTTATTTAACACTTTTATGGTCTGTTGGTCTGGCTTGTGTAACAAGCTTTTGAAATATTTAAGAAGAAAATGAAGGTAAAGCATTGCTGGCGTCATCCCATTGCCCCTTGTTCTCATATATGTGTGTGTTGTTTTTTTTTTTTTAGCACACGGCAAGCAGGAAGATCTCCAGGGTGAGCTATATACCATTTGTATCTTTTAAAATTTCTATTTTATGTTTTGAGATTGCATTTGCCTTGTATCTACTTTTCTTGATATTTAGGAAGAGTCTTCTGCTAGGACTTTGGGAGCAGGGAGAAAAGTGGGTTGTCAGTTTCTCTTTTCCTAGTTTGGCATGTGGGTAGGGACACACTCTAAGAGGGTTTTTTATATGGAGCGAAAGCATCTTGGACAGGGGTCCTCAAACTGGGGGTCGGGACCCCTCGGGGGTTGCCAGGTCATTACATACGGGGTCGTGAGCTGTCAACCTCCACCCCATAACCCGTTTGCCACCAGCATTTATAATGGTGTTAAATATATTTAGTTGCACTCAGAGGCTTGCGATGTTAAAGGGATCACCAGTAAAAAAAGTTTGAGACCCACTGATCTTGGAGAATGATTCCTCTGCTGTTGTTTTTCCCCTCCCATTTGATGGCAAAGTGACTGGTGGGCAGTCAAGCATATCCGCAGGGTGGAGTTCAGCTGGTGAGTTTTACTACATACCGGGCCAGTGATAACCCTAAAACTGGTTTCATTGGAGGTGGAGGAGGTGCACCAGTGTTCTTCTCCAGCTTTGAGTTTTCAACTTAATCCTACAAGGTCCTGAGCAGCTACTGGGATGTGCCGAGCATCTTAAATTCCAATGGAGCTGAAAGTGCTCAGTGCTGTACTTTATACAGCACTTACTCTTGCTTCAGCAAAAGCAGCCGGTGGGCAGGTCTACACTATGGCAGAGATTGACGCTCTGAGATTGATCCACTGGCGGTCGATTTATTGGGTCTAGTAAAGATCCGCCAGATCAACTGCAGATTGCTCTCCAGTTGACCCCTGTACTCTACCCCCGATGAGAAGAGTAAGGTAAGTCGACGGGAGATTTTCTCCCATCGACCCCCGCGGTGTAGAACCTGCAGTAACTCGACCTAAGGTACGTCGACTCCAGCTACGTTATTCACGTAGCTGGAGTTGCATAGCATAGGTCGACTTACTGCGATAGTGTAGACATAGCCTGTCTTTTGGCAGACACCGCTTTCATCCTTTTTATGGGATAAATAGGAAGACTCTGTTCCATAGAAGCAGAAAGAAAAACATAAGTTTTCCATCTAAGGTATTTTTCCCCTATTAAAAGATCAAAGATCCAGTCTGTACTGTCAAGGTGTTACTTCTCAAAGCAAGATCAGTCATGCTAGTTATAATAGCACATTTTCAAAGTACACATCTGCAGCAATTTTATTTTTAATATACTATTCTAATGTATTAACACCTCAATGATATTAATAAACTATCTTGGGTTCAGTTCTGCACATTGTTTTAGTGTAGTTCTGGTAAGTGAACTGAAGCTTTGTCATGTTTATAAAAATTTGCTATTTTGTTTTAAAGGTGTAGAAGACAAAGAACAAACATTAGTACGAAAACTTAGCACTTCAGATGCTACATCTGAAAAGGTAAGAGTGTTCTGGCTGAAATCATCTTACATTTTGTGGCATGATCTTCTGGTTCTTTTTTTCTATGTTGTAAAGTCAAGCCACACTTTAGGAATAGGTAGCATAAATCCTCAAAGCCCATGATGAAATCTGGAGTGGGATTTTAAGCTTGCCTCTTTATAGAAATCTAATTGTGCATTCAAGTTTTTGTGTGTGGAAAAATGACTTTTGTGAACTTAACTAATGACAAATTTCATGACTTTTCAATTATGCTCTCCCCTCTTTTTTTCTCCCTCCCATCCTCAAAGAAGCTACTGGATGAGGAGGAAGAGATGTCTGAATTGCAGCTTAGACTTCTTGCACTTCAGTCTGCCAGTAAGAAATGGCAGCAGAAAGAACAGCAGGTGATGAAGGAAAGCAAGGAAAAACTAACAAAGACTAAAACTGTTCAGCAAAAAGTCAAAGCCAGTACAAAACCACATTCAACCAAAAAAACCAGCACTGCAGGTAATATGCTTAACAAAATTAAAATGGTTAGCAGTAGTCATCCATCTGAAATCTAACATGTAATCTGCTATGTAAGGCTTATACTAATACAAATCTTCACCACCATATTGCACTCACTAATACCTTTCATTCTCAACACTTTTAGGGTTTCTGCAAAATGTAACCTTTGGGGACTTGTTGGATATGTGTGGAGGTTTTTAAAGAAATGAGGTGCAATTACCTGTATATATTTTTATTTAAAGCTAAGCAAGCTTTGAGGAAACAGCAAACAAAGGCATGGAAAAAAATGCAGCAGCAAAAGGAACAAGAAAGACGTCAAAAAGAAGAGGAGCAGAGGAAACAGGAAGAGGAGGAGGAGAGAAGAAAAAGAGAAGAGGAAATCCGAAAAATCCGTGACCTTTCAAATCAAGAAGAGCAGTACAACCGGTTCATGAAGCTTGTTGGGGGAAAGAGGAGATCAAGAAGCAAGGTAGTGATTTGTATTCAGGTGTTATATTTGAGATCCTTGATTGATGCATACTTTCTTTTTCAAACTCTCAGAGAAACAGAATAGTTTAGTGGTTACAACATAGAATTTGGAGCCAGAAGTTTGTGTTTTAATCCCAGATCTGACTGTTTTTATTCTTCTTCTGGCTGTTTTTGGTCCTGTCTCAATCTCTCTACATAGATTTATCCACCTGAAAATTAGTGATCGGTAATTGTTGTTCTCATCAGAGTGTTGTGAGCATAAGATGCATGAAAGATGTTAAAAACTCTGTAAATAAGTATAAACCAATTAGTAGTCAGTCCTGTTCTAGGAGTTGTAAAGCCAGAATACTGCTTTTACTAGGTTTTGCAGTGGTTCTGGAAATTAAATTCAGTGGGGTAGCACTCCCCCAAAGTGCTCATTTTAAGACTAATCATGTTATACTGCAGAAGTGAACCAACAATATATATTGCCTATCAAGAAACAAAGTCTATTTACTGGCAAAAAGTGTCATTAATTTAGAGTTAGGATTGCTTAGTTCTGCTTTTCCAGAATGTGGAGTATCACTAAACTTAAATTTGAAAATCAGGAAATAGTTATATTTTGCACCCAACCTTAATTCTGTCATCCTGGAGCTGGCAATAGGCACTGGCACCAAATGAAACTTGACCCTGTCACTAACAAAATTTGTGCGTCTGTGTCCCCAAACCAATTCTTTAGCCTCATTCCTCTCATTTAGGTGTAGCTTCATTGCCCCAAGTAATAGTTGCAGCAAGCTGCCAGTTTTCTCTCTATCAGGAGAGGTGCAGCTGCAGCTAAAGGAATCAGGGATCTCTGTGTTTTGGTCTTGTTATACAGAAGGTCCCTTTAGATAGTCGCAATGGCCATTTCTGGTTTTATAACGTAACAATGTTTGAAAGAGTTCTAGAAAGAACTTTAGAGTTTGAGGGCCACTAGAAAGACTTAGTGGACTGTCGGACAGCAGTAGCCAGTCAAGAATATAGAGGGATAGTAGTATTTCACCCCATTTTAACACACTTTTGCATATTCTTAGTGCTCACCAGCACTCTATATCTGCATTGGCATTCACACATCATGCATCCTTTCTGCCTTCTGTCCTGCACTGTTGCTCTGGGACTGAGGTGTGCCAACAGACTGCACTACGTGGCTCATTTTGGAGTAACCAAAGGTGATGTCCCACAGGGAATCCTTAAGGCAAGGATAAACGGGTATCAACATCTGTCAAGTCTTTAGGGGCTTGCCTGGAATATGCAAAGTGGTCAAGAATAGTAAGTCAGGCTTAGATAGTTAGTGTTTGGCTAAGCCCATCCTAACCTTAGCCTGTGTCCTAGTCAAGTTAAGGCTTGGGAGTTCCCCATATGCTATCCTTGTTCACTTCTCCCCTGCTGTCCTCCAGGTACTCAGGAAGGGTATAGTTATATGATCTTTAACTGGGACAGGTTAGAGTATTGCTCATGGGGGCAGAGGTAAGATTTGGAGGGAGGGGGATGGGAAATGACCCACTCTGCATTTCCTTGTTTTCAGAAATTCAAATTTAGCCCTTCCCTCCATGTTCTGTGAGGCACAAGGCAGTGCTAGCCAACTTTAGTTAATAAAGGTTTTGGCATTGAATTTCCCTTGTTTGAGGAAATGATGGTAAAGAGGGGGCATGACTGAGGGGCACCTGTGATGGGGGCCATGGATGGATTTCCTAAATACATCTCACTGCTGCTCAGCTATTAGCTTTGCTTTCCTCCTTGCTCCTTCGTGACACTCGTAGGGCTGTATCTGAGACACCTCTTGAGCAAATGAGTCCAAATTGGCACCACAAAGTACCCCATGTTGTCGTATAGCACTGTTCATGACAACCTCCTTTATGTACATGGAATTTAGAGTACTTTGAAAAGTACGCTTTTAAACACAGAGCTCTATTTGACCAGACCTATGAAGTCACTGTTGTTCCTCCTTAATGCTGCTGGCACCTGAAGCAGAACTTCCAAAAACAAACCCTTGGGTGCAAGCAGAAAGTAGGCTGAAATTTGTCTCGGAAGTCTACCAAAAGCAGCACTTGAACTCAGTTTTTGTGGGGAGAAAAACGGGGGAGTATGCTCAGGTTCAAGATAGTCTGTTCCTGTAAGCGAGCAAGTGATTGATGTAGGCTGAGCTCCTTTGCATAGTTGGTCGAATGAGGCATCAAGTGTACCAGTCTCATGGTGCATATGCAAATCACTTTCTCTCATGTGCCTGTCACTGTTCTTTTTTTGTGGGAGTTCTGTCTCTGGAACCCTTCGGCTGAATGACCCAGAATTTACAAAACTAACTCTGGCTCTGGGGCTTAGCAATTTTTAAGACACATTCAGTGTGCATGTGGATTGTTTTTTAGAGCTCTGTGAGGGTTGAAAGCTTTGTTCAACCTTTACAATAAAGTTGCTGAGTGCTGTTCCATAGTAACTATGTATTTAGTTTTCCTGTTTAGTCATTACTTGGCTCTTTTGAAAAAAAAGATTTGCTTTTCAGCAGAAACGTTAGTAATTACTGTGATGTATTGGCAGGAGCAATAGAGTTCTGAAATAGAAGCTAATTATAACACCATTTCTTTCAGAAACACTTTATTCAAGAGTGCCCAACCTTTTAACGCTGGCTAATTGTCAGGAGCTTGAGTGTCTGTTTATAAGTTTTTATTTTGGGTTTGATAATTGGATGTGTTTGCTTGTGTAATCTCTTGTAGAAACTGCTGTTGTATTCAGCGAAAACGGCATTCAAAACCTGCAGCTGATCTCCTCAGTCTCGTCTCTAACATAGAGAAGAAAGCTGTAGTTTGACTTCTTAAGCCACAATTGACCACCTTCTTGCCTCCTCCTTTCTCTGCTGGGTAGAACTTGATTGAAAAATAAGTGAGGGGACAGGTGGTGGCAGTATTAGAACAACTTTTAAAAAATGCAAATGCTGTAAGACATGCTAAATTTAAGCACTTTTTTTTTTTTTGTATGCTTAGTCTTCAGATACAGACTTGAGACGGTCTTTAGATAAGCAATCTACTGATAGCGGAGGAGGGATTTATCAATATGACAACTATGATGAAGTTGCCATGGATACAGACAGTGAAACTAACTCACCAGGTAAGATTAACTTTCAATTTCTGGCATGGTTGAAAAGTATAATGATGAAAAATGGTTGAAATATTACTTTAGTGATATAAGAAATATGAAACTGACAATCTCCGTCTTTTCAGAAGGGCTGTGTTCGTTTTGTGGACTGAAGTTGAATGGGTAATAATTAAGGCTAAGATTTTTTGTCACAGATATTTTTAGTAAAAGTCACAGACAGGTCACAGGCAATAATGAAAAATAAATGGAAATCTATGACCCGTCCCTGACTTTTACTAAAAATATCCATAACAAAATGGGGAGCCTGGGCATCTGCTGGTGGGTTGGGAGCCCCAGGGGCCTCCACCACCCGTGGGGGCTTGGAACTCCAGGGTCCCCCTCCTCTGGTGGCTCATAGCTGCGGGGGTCCCCCCCATTGCCCGGAGTGGCCAGGATTTCCCCACCACCACCCGGGGCGGTCAGGAGCTGCGGGGTGGGGGGGAGTGTCCAAGTGCCAGTCATGGGAGCTGGAAGCTGTGGGGGGCTCCTGCCTCCTGGGGCAGCCGGGGTATGCTGCAGTTCCCCGCCTCCACAGGCGGCTGGCGACCCTGCAGCTCCCAGCCAGCGCTGGCTGAAGTCATTGAGGTCTTTGGAAGTCACGGATTCCCTGAGTAAATCACAGCCTTCGTAATAATGCCCTGTGGGTTTGAGAACTATGTCATTTAAGAGGAACTAATTCTGTCCTGTTTTAAATCTGATTCTTTTTTATATAGCTTTGTATTCCCTAGGGATCCGCTAAAGAGCTTCAGGCTTACACTTAGCCAAATATGATTAGAAACATCAAACTTGTTTATAAATTCATATGGAATCATGTAGAAATGGGGGTCCCCAAAGCAAGATGTGTGAAAAACTCTGACTACTTCCTAGAAGCCTGTCCTGCACCTAATTTTCTCACAAACTTAAATGAAACTATTTCAGAAAATACAGTCAAATTTAGAAACATTACCAATATTTCAATAACCTTTATTCTTTCCTAGCTGTGTTTATTCCTTTTATTCCATTGTTCTTCATCTTCTGATTTTATTCTCTTTTATTTTCCATATTTGTTTTTTCCTTCTCAGCAAACTTCCTTGCCCTCTGGCCTCTGTTCCCAAACTTTCTCCTTAGCTGCCTCTCTTAATTTTTCTGCTGCCTGGTTTTCAGAAGGACCACACAACATACTGTTTCCAGGCATGCAAATTATGTGACTCCTTCATATGGAAGGGTGGGGCCTCTGAGGCTCTGGATCTACATGTCCCAATATTCCTTGAGTTTCTTACCTATCTGGTGCTGAAGCCTTCATGCATGTTGCATCTCCTTCCTGCTGGTTGCCAGATCAGTTGGAATCTCTGTGCTCGGGCTTGTAGTTTCAGAAAGCATGCATTTGTGAGTTAAATCAAACTGAACAGCAAAGATGGGTTTCACTTAGAGTAATGTTGTCTTTGAATATTTGAATACAAATTATAAAGTTAATTTAAAAAAAAAAAAAAAGGTAGGAACAGGGCATTAAGTAGTTCCGTGTGTCTTTTGTTCAGGTATATACTCCTCTTTTATTCTGGTCTCACCTACCAAAGTTGAGATATAAATTAGCACCTTGCCTGTTTTCTCACTTAGCTTTATGGCCATGAGTTGAAATGCGATTCAATATTTTTAGTTGGTTAATTAAAGCATAACATGATTTAGTCGTGTTTGGTAACTTACCATTCTTATTTCTTGATTTAAATGTCTCTCTCTTTGTTGCAGCTTCTTCTCCAGTGCAGCCTCCTTTCTTTGAGTGTCCGGTGGAATATTTTCCTCCTCCAGCACCACCAATTTCCTTGCCCCTGACACCCCAGGTTACAGTAAATAATTTTAATTCATTTGTCTTTTAAATTTTTCAGTTTTAATATATATTTAATATATTTTAGTTCTGTGTCTTAAAGAAATACTGTCTTGGACCCTACATTTTATGTTGCATTAAAATATGTGAGAATTTCCTAATAACTTCTAACAAGTCTGCATCAAGTAGTTCTTCCCAGACCCTTCTGTGGTACCATTGTGCCTCTGTATCTTTATGCTGATCTATTGTTCCCCCTCTCGTGTTGGGGTGACTATAAAGAAAACCTCCCTTTCCAGAGATCAACAAAACCAGACCATTCTTTCAATCTTTTCTGGGCTCAGCTGTCTTTCCACCTTCTTTGCTGCTGGAGTTCTAGTCAGTTCCTTCTCCTCTTGCATCACCACTTCCAGGTGTGTAGCTGAAGGGTAGGGCAACCCAGTCCCCACTTCCCACTTGGGCTCCGGTCCCCCCGGCCCTATATACAAAATGTCTGTCCTCTCTAGCCTCAGTACTCCCCACCCAGGGACTAACACCTATTCTGGCTGTGTTGTAGGTCCCTTATCCACCCAGTACCAGTCTCAATTAGATTCTCTGGTTGCCTTCTCACCCAGGAATTTGCCAGCAGCCTGCTATTCTCTGTCTCTCCCTTCCCACTAAACACATCTCCTTCTTTGTGCCTAGTTGGTGCTCCTTCTTTGGACTAAAAACTCTGAATTCCTAGCCTTAAAGGGAATTGTAATAGAGCTGAAGGGACAAACCCTTAAACCTACCTCCTTTTTTGTAAATCGGAGCAATTTAACTCCAGCCTTTGATGTCACTGTCTAAATCACTGCTATTTGAATGTAATATCAAACCGTGACTTAATCAGTTTAATTCATGTCCTTTGTGTCATTGGAATAATTTAGTAATGAAAAGTTTTAGTTAATTCTATTTGGTTTTCAAATTCTGTTTTTCTTTTTGTAATGCATCTCAGACCGTACAGCCGTTGAGCCAACTTTATGTGGAGGACATTTCTTGTGTTTCTCTTGAGCCTCCTCCACCTCTCCCACCCCTTCCACCTGAGGAACCCGAACAGCCACCCAAACCTCCATTTGCAGATGAAGAAGAAGAAGAAGAAATGCTACTACGAGAAGAGCTACTCAAGTCTCTAGCTAACAAACGAGCTTTCAAATCAGAGGTAGTCCTGTAGTTTGTGAATATAGCCTCTAGATGGCACTCTTGAGCTAACTTTAAAGGTGACCTGCAAAGGGTGGAAAAATATAGGACCTTTTTTTTTTTTTTTTTTTTTTTTTTTTCGTGCTTTATGGCTGTATAAAACAATCCTGAATGAGTTTTAAATCAAATCTGCTTGATTTACATTACAAATTACAGGTCTTGTCCAGCCTGTTTTTGCTGGAGGACTGGTGGGATTATAACATTTCAAGGGACTAAAATTTGAACAGTTGAAAGGGATTTTATTCACTGTTAAACTGTTTATTTGCTTAATACCTATTTAACAAACTATTGGAAGGAAGTTCTTTTTGTTAAAGATTCAAACACTACCTTCCTGTCATTTGAAGGCTGAGAGAGCTCTTGTTTCACTTCAGTCTTCCAGCAAATATGAGATGGACAGGACTTTACATTTCTAGTATTTCTGAGGTAAAAAACAAACAGAACTTATCCCCACCCCTCCCCGTGTTTGTAATGAAAATTAAATTAAACTGCCTATATGACATCATAAAAGAGGCCACAAACATATTTCCTTTGCAGATCACCTGTAAACAAGAGCAGGACCATTCTTGCCTAATATACTTTTTAGCATCACTATGTAACTACACAAGTGGCGATAGTTATAGACCTTCGATCAGAAAATTGAAATATGTTCTGGTGATACAGTGTCTCTGTTATAAAAGTTTAGAGAGATAGCATAGACGCTAATATGCTAATATTTTTCATATACAGCTGTACACCTTTTGAAACACTTTTTTGATATAGTATACTATTTCTTCCTCCCTCCCCTCCTGATTGGACTTTTTATTTCCTTATGTAGGAAACATCAAGTAATAGTGGTCCGCCTTCACCTCCAGTTCCAAATAATTCCCAGCCTGTGCCAAGAAGCAATCTATCAGCAGTCAGTATTAATACTGTATCCCAGCCTCGGGTACAGAACACAAAGTTTGTTAGAGTACCGCGACCGCCACGAGCAGTAATCACAGTAAGGAAATAACTTCAGTTTTCTTTTAATAAGACCATCTTATGAACTAGTCTTAACTCATATGGTAAGTTAGAAGTAAAGGATCTTCTTCTGCATAAAAGCATGTTATTCCCTTGAAAATAACTTTGTGTTAGATCAGTGATTAGGAACCTTTGGCATGTTGGACCATTCTCTTTCCCTTCCTTGCAATGAAATATTTAATTCTCTTGTACATCTAAGAATTTATGGCTTCTCTGAGCTGGGAGAAGATGCAGTGGCCCTTCTTAAATAACCTTTTAAATGAGTTAAAGTTTTTCCAATTTTAGGTTGGGGTGGGGGAAGAGAATCTTGAAAAGATAAGATGCATGAAGCAAGCAAATGTAATTTCATATATTTTTAGCAGTCGAGTGCAAAATGATTTAGCTGTCACTTAAACATTGTTTAAATTGCCTTAGGTTACCTTTCACTAGGAATTTCAGACACTGAAGATTATTACCCTTTCCCGCTTTTAGCATTCAGCATCTTATAGATTCAAAGCACTGTATGAGCATTTGAGGCATGGTCAAAATTCACTGAGTCTGTGAGACAGACTGTTTTAAATACAGTCCAGTTATTTGGTTTGGTATTATCTTACACAAAGTTTAAGATGAGGGGAGATTTTTACAGGCAGAAGATGCTTGGAGGTAGAAAATTTATAAAACAAAACAGTGAAACCAGCATCAAGATGAAGGGGAATCAATGAGGTATAAGATGATTAGCACGAAATGGTCGAGGTAGTTCTATTCTGACAGTTGACTTATCTGGTATTTGATTATCGGAGTCCATGCTAGATATATGGTATATATGGTAAGGGTGTGTGTGTGTGTGTGTGTGTGTGTGTGTGTATATATATATATATTTTTTTTTAATCCTATTTTAATGGCTCTGAGAAGTGGGTTCACATCAAGTCAGCATCTGATTTTGTGGTGTCCATGATCTCTCTGAAGCACCATTGAAGTGTTTCACTGTCTTCATATTGTTTTGTAAGGAGAAGGGAGGACAGTACAGTCGAAAGATAGAAGAGGGCTGACTACACTGATGTCATTTTGGTCAGAATTTATGGGAGCTTCTCAGTCTTCTGATGTAACCTCTCGTGTGCATCACTCTCTTTGTTAGCTGTATTTACTTTAAAAAGTCTTATGATATCCCACTCTTTCAAGGTCATATTTCCCCCCGTCTTCTGGCAAACGTTCTTTCCATCTCCTTAACCCTCGGTGTCCGCTGCCTACATCTAACCTAATTTCAAACAATACAAGAGTAATTTGAGATACAAAGGGCCCCTGGCCTTTGTGGCACATTATACTTGTGTTAATCAGTTGGCAGTTGCATGTGTTCTGTAAACTGTTCTTTTGGTAATTTTTTATTTAAATCTCGTCTGAATCACTTTGTCAACTATTAGAGGATTTTGAAAGAGTTCTTTGTCCTATTGTCTTGAGTTTCTCCTGGGTCAGATTTAATTCAACTGTTATGTTACAGAAACACAAAGAAAAATTGTACTAGTTAATCGGAGATGAATTGCAGTATTTAGCCTTTTTAATTGCAAGATAGCTTTTATCAGCTGTGATGATGGGCAGTTTTTAAAGGGTTGAGCAAGTCCTGGTAAGTTTTTCTGTATACTCTAGTTAATGATTAGCAGCTTAGTTATTTTTTACATTAACTAAAAAATGATGGATGATATGTTTGTATATGATTAGCCTTGCTCATTTTTAACAACTTCTCATTTTGCATAGCTATTCTAATCCAAGTGTTTTGAATCAGCATAGTGCTAGAAAAATCACTCAGTTTTCAGGCTTGTTAAAAGCCATTACTTATTGTGAATGTGGTAGCTTAATGTCTAGAACAGGAATATTTTTCTGTGTGTATTAAAGGAGGTGTGGCCAGACTAAGGCCTCATCTACTCTTAAAAGTTACACTGGCATAGCTATGTCAGTCAGAATATGGAAAAAAATACATACCCTGGCAACATAACTATGCTGACAAAACCCCCAGTGAGGCTGGAGCTATGCTGACAAAGAATAGCTAATGTCATTCAGGGAGGTGGTGGTCCTAAATCAGCAGAAAAACTCCTTCTGTTGCCGTACGCTATGGCTACAATAGGAGGCTATGCCTGCATGGCATCTCCCAGTAGTGTATAGATGTACTATGTATGGGATGGATGCTCTGTAGTGTAGACACGGCTGTAGGTACCTGCAGCAGATCACTTGCATAGCTTCTTCTCTCCCCTCTACCCACAATAACTGTCAATTCTCATCACTCTGTTAGGGCCAGTTTGTGTGGTTTGTTTTTGTGTGTGTGTGTGTGTGTGTGTTTTAATTGTTCGGCTTGTGGTATTCAGGATTTGTTTTATTCTTTGAGTTCCTGAAATCATGAGACACTTTTTAAAAAAGAAAACAAAGCTTCTAGCCCTCATGGTTGCAGAGAAAAGTTTGAAAATGTACAGTGTGTTCCCTGAAGGCTCAAAACACAGAACACTTTTACAAGGAACTAAACATTTGATTTTAAAATAATAATCTAAATCATAATTTTTTTGTGTGCCTGACTCATGGTTTTTGAATGCTTGCAGTTGGCAATGCTGCACCATGTGCTGGAACAATGTGTACATGATCCTAACATTACTGCTGGGAGTGGTGGTGAAGGGAGAAGGCAAACAGCTAATTTGTTCCACCCTCCTGCAGCCCTGGAAAACTACATAAGATCACACTCCTCCCTATGCATGTTTCCACTTGCATTGAGAAGAATAGTAGAGTGAAAGTGACAAAGTTACCATCTTTTGCTCAGCTGCTCAAGTTTGTGTTATTGCAGAAGTGGTATATGTGGGAAAGTGAAGTAATACAGGCTTCTTATTAGGGATTTGTAAAATATTGAAGGGACACTGCCCTGAGGTAGAGGGTAAACATTACTCTGTAGCTGTCTAGTCTTGACTGACATTTAATCATTCCTGTGTTAGGAGGAAGGGAGAGAATCAACTGGAGAGTGGAGGGTGAAGTTGCCTATAACTGTACATGCCAAAGTCTATAATTATTTGATCCAGTCAGTCTTGAGTACCTCATCTGAGTATGTGGGACTGGGACTAGAAAGATCACTGCATAGTGCTAGCACAGGCTTGCTGTTTTCTTTGCCTCCATTCTCTATCTGTAAAATCAAGATACTTTCCACTTCACATAACTGTTGTGAGAATAAATCCTTTAAAAACTCAGGCACTTGGAAGGGGCTCCCACTAGATAGGGCTCCCATTACCAGAACTTCCAAGTGCCTCAGTATTTAAAGGATTTATTCTCACAGCAGTTATGTGAAGTGGAAAGTATCTTAATTTTACATACATACTAGAACTAATCCAGAATATAACTGGAGCAGGGTTAAAAGTGTTCATATAAAGCCTACACTATAATGCATCTGGTTTTACTTCTTTTGCTAGTAGGTATAAAAATAAATACTTTGTCTCTGCAGCTTCCGAAGCATAAGTCAGTAGTGGTGACACTGAATGATTCAGATGATAGCGAATCTGATGGAGAGCCATCTAACTCGACTAACAGTGTATTTGGAGGACTAGAATCCATGATCAAAGAAGCAAGAAGAACTGCAGAGGTAAATGATGTATCTATCTATAAAGCTTAATTTTAGCACTTTTTTAATCTCAGAATTCACAGCAAACCTTCAAGCAAGGGTCTAGAGATACAGGCGTGTGTCAAAAACAGAAGAATATTGAGTGCGTTTTTATGGTACTGTGCCTAGGCTAGTAATTACATCATTCTTGCAACACAATGAACAAACTCCCGTTTGTTTTAGTTAAAAATAACCTCAGGATACAACTTGAAGGGGGTACTAAAATGCTTAATTGAAAAATAAAACCCAAACACAGAATTCTAGGTTGTGGCAAGTAAGAAAAGGGGCTGCTAATTGACTAATATTTGGCTTTAAAAACCTTTTACTCACTGTGTAATCTGTTAATGACCACATCTTAAAGCTTTAAACTTAAAGAAAAAATGTAATTGCCCCTTAAATATTATATGGCTTCTGCAAACATTTGCATTTAATTTGGTGTGTGGGGAGGTGTAATATTGGCATATTTTGATTAAGCTCTCTTTTTTTATAATAGGCTTCAAAACCCAAAGCACCTCCAAAATCAGAAAAAGAAAATGATCCTATGAGAACCCCAGAGGCCTTACCAGAAGATAAGAAGATTGAATATCGACTCTTAAAAGAAGAGATTGCCAGGTGCGTTGGAGTTTCAGGGCAAAAACACAGCTTTGAAGAACCTATATTTTGCTTTTAACCCATACCAGTAACCCGTCCTCTTAATTTTGACAAAAAGATGTTAAATTAAAGATCAGTAGAATTAATGTGAAGTGTTTCCTTAGATTGCAAAAATAAATTGGCTTTTTTAAGATTATTTTTAGTAAGATTATTCAGTATGTGAACTGCTTGGAAACCATTCCAACTACAAAAATCTCCCTCTTACTTGAAATATAGCCATATTACTTTCAGTAAAGTGCTGCTACTAATTTGTGTTCTGGGAGTATATGCAGTGAGAAGACATAATGTGTAGCTAGTTGCAATTGCTGGATATTCCATATGTTTTGTTTTTTAATATGTCTGTTTTAGTCGAGAGAAGCAGCGCTTAATTAAATCTGATCCATTGAAGAACAATTCATCTCCTGCAAACTCTGATGGTGAAGTCGATGGGGTTGGTAGAATAGCAATAGTTACAAAACAAGTTACAGAAGCAGAAGCAAAACTTAAGAAGCACAAGTAAGTTCTTCAGTATGATGTATACCACACTGAGTTTGTTTAGGGGGAATTAAAGGTTAAAATGTTCATGAATGTGTAACTTCAATACAATAGGGCTGGATTATCCACTGCTTGGCACCTTATGTTGTCACTTACTGCTTTACAAAATGAGTGTAATGTTGTAATGTCACCATCACAGTACTCTACTGCCCTCTTTCCTGCTCTCCCATCTTTGTCGTTTGAAACTTCAGTTGTAGGCCCCCAACTGAATTGTTCTGGATTTAGAGTCAAGTTGTAGTACAAGTACTATTTTTCTCTTCCCCTGCCTTTCCTGCCAGGTCTAAGTGCTGCTCTTTTTGAAGCAGCAGCTTCTTGTCTTTAGGCAACCTCTGTTGCCCAAGTCTGTATCTTCTTGCCCTCCGCTAAAGTATACGCCTGCCTGAGAAGAGGGCTAGGCTGCGGAAATTGGGGCAGAATTTTTGGCGCCCGTAAACATCTAAAACTACCAACAAAATATTTTTTAAGATTTGCCATTTTCTCATCCGAGTACCATATTTAAAGTGATGCATTGACTGACTAAATCTGCCCATTCAGTATATCTGTCCTAGATTACCCAGCTGTAATGCACGTGCTTGCCTGTTTCATGGGATGTTATATACGTAATATTTGCAGAATAGTTTGAATTAATTTAATGAAAGGTGCTATGAAAGTGATTGGTTGGCTGTTGCAACAGGTTAAGAAGTTTGGGGTTCAAAGTGGTAGTCTGTAATTCTGTGCCATCTTGATCTTTGGAAAAATGTGATTTATTAAACCAACTTTTTAATTTTTAGACTTCTGTTAATGAAGGATGAGTCTGTTTTGAAACATCTCCTGCAGCAAGAAGCAAAGAAGAGAGAATCTGTTCGAATTGCTGAAAATAAGATTGCTAAACTTGCTGAGCAACTGCAAGCAACTGAAAAGTTTCTGGATGTTAATAGGGTGTTTTTGAAGAAGCTTCAGGAACAAGTAGGTTTGAACTGTCAGGAAAAAAATTGTTCAATTTATTTTCTATCACTATATGAACTTTCATATTTTTGGAGTTGTGTAAATTCAGTTCTTGGAAGTATGTGGCTTTATTTGTACTGTGCAACATATTAATTTACTTAGCTGTGTCTAAATTTTGTCAAATCAAACTTTTTATTGGTAGAAAGTGCATGTTTTCTTGAAGTGCTAAAATATTTTTTTTCTCTTCAGATTCACAAAGTTCAACAACGAGTTACAGTGAAGAAAGCTCTGGCGTTAAAATATGGAGAAGAGCTTGCTCGAGCAAAAGCAGTGGCAAGTAAAGAAATTGGAAAACGAAAACTGGAACAAGATCACCTCGGAGTAAGTCAGTCACATAAACTTGCACCTTTCTTTAGTCGAAAAGTAATAATAACTTTGTTTAGCTAACTTCAGTCCAGAATCTTCAAATAGAAGTTGAAGTGGAAAAGTATTTTAAAAGGTGAACTGTGAAGAAAAATCAAGTCTTTCCATACACATCTCCTATGTTGTAATATATAAGCAGTCTGAAAGTTTGTTCCAGAAGACTTTTCTGTTGGATTTTTACGTTAGAAGTGTTAAGGTTTTACTTCCATCTCTTTGCTGGAGAAGACGAATAGTGCTGTAATAAGACTCTGGCCTAGCTATGTGGGGAAGGATTCCTACATGTTGGTGACATCACTATTCAGCTCCTTCAAAGATTTTGCCCAAGCTGTCCAGCTGAGACAAGTAAGTGAGGGTCTGATATTACTAATCTGAAAAACAAGCTGAAGAAGGCAATTTGAGACAGGTTTTTTTGTAAGTTATATTTTTTTCTTTGTTTTCTCTTTTTTATATGTGTGCTTTGCATTTTACATTTAAACTTTGGTAACCCAAATTTGTGCGCTAAAGATTTATAGAGTGGTGTAGACTAATTTAATAGAAAAACCAGCAAACATTCCAGTGGAATTGTGGCAAATTATGTTGTGGTTTTCCTGCTGTTTTTGTTTAAATTTTCAGGCAAGAGTTTAAAATATGTACTTCTAAGCTGAGTCAAATGTTTTACCCGGTTTCATTACCCTCCTGTCAATATTTCAGTAAATGCAAAGAGATATTAAGCGTTTTTTTTTTCTTTGTAGCCAAACAAAATGTTGAAATTGGATCATTCCCCTGCATCAAGTCCAAAAAAACATTCAGCAGAATTGATTGCATTGGAGAAGAAACGACTACAGCAACTGGAGTACGAGTATGCCCTAAAGATTCAGAAACTTAAAGAGGCCCGTGCACTTCAAATCAGGGAACAACCAAATATTACTCCAAATGCAGAAGAGGAATCTGAATTTGTATTACCTCAGCCATCACTTCATGACCTTACACAAGACAAACTGACCCTAGACAGTGAAGAAAACTATTTTGATGATGAAATTTTGTCTAACTCAAACAGAGAACGAAGGAGATCTTTCAGAGAATCCAGTTCTTTTACTAAACCTAATCTTAAGCACTTGGACACCCCCAAACAAGAAATAAACAAACTTTCTAAAAAAGCAGTGGAGGAACCTGAACTTTTTCTCGGGTTGAATATTGATGAACTGAAAAAACTTTATGCTAAAGCTGACAGCTTGAAAGAGCTGCTTATAAAAAGTACTGCCGTTATGACTTCTAAGGAAGAGTTTTTATGTGGTCAGGTAAACTTGTGCCTCAACTCCTTTTAAATACTTAACTTGTAATTACATTGTTTTTTTCTTTTTCTTTTTTTTTATGAAGACTAGGTTTTTGCTGTATTATAGTTCTTTAAATATTTGTTTCCTAGGAAATTTTGGTGGATATGGATATTGTTACAGCACAAAGTAAACAAGCTGAAGTGAGACCATTTCCATTTGGGCCATATCATAGTCCCCTTCTAGTTTTTAAATCCTACAGGTATGACGACTATATTATCTCTGTGTGTGGCTGCTTTGTTTATGAAATATTTTAATTGCTTTCAGTGCTGTCTGTATTTCTTCTTACAAGTTGTATAACATCAAAGGTAAATTTGGCTTAAGAACAGCTTTTGTAACCTTAGCGTGGGATTGATTCCATTCTTTGGAAGATTTGACATTTTTAAAGTTCTGTGTGTGATGATAAACTTTTAAGCATGACACGTAAAACCTAACTTTCTTTAACCAAAAGTCATCTTAAAATTATTTTTCTGATTCAAAGAATCAGGAAACTTATCTCTAGAGACTTCATTATTCCTTCGTTCATTACTTATAGGGCCCCATTTTGGTGCAGCAAGATGGACCTAAAAGTCTATGGCACTTCAGTTCCATAAAGTGAATTCTGTGCTAGATTTAAGCAAATTCTAAAAATGGAGGATTACATTTAATTAAATACAAAAATTAACACCATCACTGCAGTACTCCTTGTATTTGTTTTATATTGGCTCTTATATTACGCTACCCCTAAATTTACAATGTGCTGTAGATTTTTGTATTACAGCATTGTAATACAATGGGAAGGCAGAAGCTGAAGGATAACATTCTTACAAGAACAGCTTTGCTATGCTTTCAATATAGTACAGACTATCGTGATTCTCTTACCATACTAGAAATTGACAAACTTAAAATGCTGTCATATTTGAGCATTAAATTTTATATTAAAGGGAAAACCACCAAAAACATCTGGCTATTAAGACTCCGCTCATACTGAGTTTCTGTGCACCTGTTCTGGAGGCTCTCTGATATTGAGCTTTTAGTAGTATGGCTTCTGAGGTTATTTAATCCTCAGCAATCTGCTTTACAGCTCTGCTTGATGCCAATTAAGTAAGTGCAAGAGCAGAGGTCTCCCAGGTTTGCATTAGATCTTAACTCTAATATGTAACTCTCCCTACAGTGTGTGCATTAATTCCCCATGTGCATGTAATGAGGTTCGGTGAATGAAGGGAGAGCAGGATATTGGAGTAGAAATCTATGCGGACTGAGAGAACTGTGCTTCTGTGTTGCCTTTAGTAGGTCAGCTGTATTTCTACTCTAGTCAGCCTTTCAGAAATGCAAGATACTTCCAGATGCAAAATACAATTCCTTTTTTTAAATTTATATTTAAAACCACTTTCCTGTTTGTTTACCAGGGATTCGCATAATGGTTTTTTCCCCCCCCCTTTAGGTTTAGCCCCTATTTTCGAACCAAGGAAAAACTTTACCTCAGTTCAGTATCCTACAGCAATATGATTGAGCCAAAACAGTGTTTCTGCCGTTTTGATTTAACAGGCACATGTAATGATGATGATTGTCAGTGGTGAGTCCCTTTCAACCTTGTGCATTTGTACTAAATCTCTGTTGCATAGGTTACTGCTGCCAAGAGATGAAAATAGACATGTCTGATTCTTAACGAGGTCTGTCTGCATGATGTGCTATAGCCTTCCATTCTAAATCTTGTCTCGTTAAATACTTGCCTGCGTAAGTTCACTTGGCAGAGAGAAAATCATTGTGCCAATTCCAGTCCTGGAGGGAGATCTCTTATGTCTAAACTTGAAAAAAGAAAGATTGCTTGAGTTTTTGAGGATTTTGTTCACCATTATGTCAGATTCTTTAGGTTCTTTTGTATCGAGATGGGAACTCTCTTGTATCATAATTACAGCAGGGTCTTTTATTACCTGATGTAACAGTGGGTGAGGAAGCATACTATTTAGCACACTATAAATAAATTAGTAACATATCTAGCATGGTGTAGTAAGGAATTATTTAATAAAAGATCCTATTGTAATGCAAGAGATCAGTTTAAAACTGCTTTAGAAGAACTGCATTAAAATCTGTATAATTTGAAGGCACATCACTAAATGGTGTTACCCGTTATATTAACAATGGCCTGTTCACTTGGAGTTTCATTAGCTAGCTGTTGCTTGCCTACCAATGGAACCTCTCAAGTGAGGTTGATCTGACTCGACTTAAAAAAACAAAAAAACAAAACAAAAAAAAGGGAGTGGAGTATTGATTCTCACTGGCTCTGGGTATATAATCTGTAACCAACAGTAACTAGATTATTTCTAGGAGGAATTCTCCTACCAATACACAAGGGCATGAGATGCCCAACTCCCCTTATCTTTTGTAGGAACATCGTATGTGCAAACCTAGCTATTTTGTGTTAGGCTTGTTCTCCTTTAGTAGAAGTAGTGCACATCTATTCCTTGTATGGTATGGTGAGACTATACCCAGGATACTAAACTGGTCTACACAAACATGCACTGAAATAGCAAAATCAGTTTTAATTGGCACCTTTTTGTTACGTCAGTGCAAGTGTGTATTTTGAAGTATGGTCCACACATAGACTTGTACTGAAATATCAAAAGGAGTGAATTAAAATCATGTTAATTATTTTATTGCAAGTTTGTGTTTAGGCAGGGCCTAAAAGCATAGTTGTTGATTAGTAGAAATGTCAGGATACCTTACACATTGTGCTCAATAGACATCTTTTCATTTTAATTTTTTGTTGTTTTCTCTGCTTTAGTGGGGTTTAAGTAATGCTTGCTGATTGTGGCCCTGATATTAAATCTTTACTTTGGTGATATTTTGTTGTCTGAGAATCCCTTTTTTTAGTCTAACTTTTCTCTTTCTTTTTTTAGGCAGCACATGAAAGACTGCACTCTTAACCGAAAGCAACTGTTTCAGGACATTCTTTCTTACAATTTAACTTTGATTGGCTGTTCAGAGAAAAGCACTGATGAGGAAATCAGCATTGCAACAGGTTTTTAAGTTTGTTCCTAGTGAATGTGAAACTGGGCATTCCCCTCCCCTCCCCCCTTCCCCTCCAAAGATAGCTTTTATTTTCATTAGAAGTTCTAGAATTAAATAAGTTCTAGTGGTCATTGTATACATTATAAAATGTTACTGTATGGAAAAGTGGAAAGCCATTTTTGAGTTAGTTAGTCCATAGTAAAATTCTCAGTAGTAGACAGTAACTCCTGCATTCAGGAAAAATGCTCCCTAATTTCATTGGGCATTTCACTCATTCAAGAAATGAAGGAGACAAGATCTCATGGGTGGGGAGCGGAAACCTTCCTTTTGTATTGCTTATATACGTAACTTAATGGGATGTTGTACTTATTAATGGAACTAGGTATAGTGTGAAAAGGCACCAGGAAAGCTTCTTCCACAGTCAAGACATGTAATCATATTCTAATCTATCCTCATGGCTAGATTTAATGATGATTATTTTGTGCCAAAGTGTACATATTCTCCTGGGACCTAGGATGAGACAAACTCTTTTCTCTAGAGATCAGTCCTATTTAAGCCCAGATCTCTAGAGATAAGACTGATGATTATGTAACTTTGCCACTTACCCATCCAACTTTAACCTGTTTAAAATAGTCTAAATATTAATATTTTTAAACTTAATAATGGCGTATTGGTGTACACATCTTTTAATTTGAAAAATGAAGCAAGATTTCTTGTTAATTCCTGTAATATGCACTCCATTGATACTTCTGTTTTGCCATGCCAATAAGCTCGAGATAAACTTGGTTTTAAAAAGTATATATGAGCTATATCATTCTGCTACTAAGAGACTGTTGAGCCAGATGCCATTTTTTTTAATCCAGATATGGTTTTGGAGAATGTCTTGTGAAATTATGCAAATTTGAGGGATGGTCTAGGGTTCAGTAGAGAAATTGATTTCTTAAACATCATTATGATTCTAAAATAGTATCTGTTTTTTACTACCACCGCGTTGGATTGTTATAAATGAATTTTTGAAAACTAATGTACTTTTCATCATATAGGATGACTATATTTCATTCATTTTTTGGATAGTGGATGTGTACTGTTCAGTTTCATTTTTCCAGTTCTCTTAACCAAATGCAAGGGGAAGAGCTTAAATCAGGATCTAAAGACCTGGGGAAAGTGGTGAAGTTCCATGTCCCTCCCCCAGATTCCTCTTCTGCATCTTTGAGGAGTAATGGGATGAAAGTAACACAAGAAAGTCAGAATAGAAAAATCAGAAAGAAATTTCTGTTTGTGAGATGTAATCTGTAGCAGTGGCTTAGAAAGCACACCTGGAAACCCCCTTTTTTAAGGATATTTACAAGTAGACTAGACCAAAGCACTAGAAAATGTACTGCAGGAATAATCTCGGGGGTGTGGATAAAATGGCCTAATATATCTTTTCCAAATTCTGACTTCTATATCCAGCCAAACTTGAGAAGCATATTAACTTGAAATGATCAGCACTGAAATAATGGTGGTGATATTTATATTGTCATTATGCTTTCTGCTGAGTCTCTTATGTTTTAATATTTCATAAATGGTACACATCTATTTATAGCTGTATCTAGTTAAGTTATAATCTTGGTCTCATTTTAGAAAAATATGTCGAAAAACTTTTTGGTGTAAACAGAGATCGAATGTCAGTGGATCAGATGGCCGTTCTTCTTGTTAGCAATATCAATGAGAGTAAAGGTCACAGTAAGTAACTTGTTTGATATTTTTAATAAAATAGTCTGTTGTATTATATTGTATGTACTATATGTATTATAGTGTTAACATTGCGTATGAGCTTATGAGAAGTGAGATGAGCTTGACAAATTCTTCTGATAGTATTGTAAAGAGAAGATCTGCTTAGTCTATTTAAGTTCATTTCACTGAAACGTATGGTTATGGTCTTCTGTCTTTAAGCTTCTTTTGTTATAGGGTAAAAATTTCAAAAGTGACTTGTGCACTCAGGAACCTAAGGCTGTCATTGAAAGTCAATGGAATCTATACTTCTAAGTCACTTAAATGCTTCTGACAATTTTACCTAAAATGACTAACTTTGAACAAAAATACATTGGTTTGTGGCTGCAGAAGCAAACAATTTCTACTGTTCTGGTTGGTTACAGCACCTCCATTTACAACTTGGAAAGACAAAAGGAAATGGAGACCTAAGTACTGGAGAAAACCTGTTTTAGATAGTAGTAGCAGCAGTGAGGAGGAACAATCTCTGGGACCTATTAAATATGGTAAGGCAAAATTGTGGTGTGCGTTAGAAATAACTAATGGGGGTGGGGGAGAAGTTGCAAGCACTTATTCAGATTAAGCATGAATTTGCTTCAGTATATGACCCATTTATATACTCCACGCATAAGCTTCTTGACTACCTTCTCTTCATTTGCCTGTTCTTTATTCTAGGATGATTAAATCTATGGATATCCATTTAAAAAATTAATAATTTAAAAGCTTAGTGGGAGCTCTTATTCCCTTCTCTTGAAAGGAACTTGCTAGGATGTTCTGGAGCATCTAAGATTAGAGAGATTTCCCACATAATTTGTGCAAATGGCACAAACCCCCACAGAGTGAATTCTGCAAGAAGGCTCTTCAGAGAATCAGACTTGTTTTGTGATGAACTTTCTCCTATGAGCTCTGCCTCACTCTCAGTGCTGCCCTAAAAATTATTCCTAACCAATCTGATCCTGCAAAAGCAGCCCTCTACACTTGCCTTTTTCCAGTTTTCACATTTGAACTAAAGCCAGTTTTCTGTGCCATACTTATCGCTTCTTTCCTACTTTTAAGGAGAGAATACCTTTACCTTTCTCTAAATGTGGTGGGTGGCTATTGTATTTGAAAGGTATCCCGACAATTACTTGGGAAGTCTGTTTGATGGTGTTTTCATTCATCTTAAATATATGATTAGTTAGTTCAAGTTCCACTGTGAAAGGTAATCTGCATGCTGAACAGAGACACTTTATTCTTGCAGCCAATCCTGTAGAACACAAAACCAATGTTCGAGCTCTGGATGCTGTTGTGACTCCAGACGATGTCAGATACTTCACAAATGAGACTGATGACATTTCTAATCTGGAGGCGAGTGTACTTGAAAACCCCTGTGATGTACAGCTTTGGATTAAACTTGCATACAAGTACTTGAGTCAAAATGAAGGGTAGGTTCTTATCTATATGCAAACAAATCTGTTGCCCTTTTATATTTTTTGTTTGATGCTTTTCACCTGTGCTACTGTAATCAGGTTTCCTTCCTGGTGTCAAAGGACCCTTTGTTTCTTTGACAAATCCACAAATACCTTATTGCTTAAAAGCAGTTAGAAAAAAATTCAGATTAGATCTCTTGCTGTACACAGTCCAGTGCATGAGTAATAAATTATATTTGCATTTTAACTCCAGATAGATTTTATTTCAGAGTGGAAGTAGTTGAAATGAGAATTAGTAAAGCAGTAATTGCTTTAAAAAATGCACAGTTTATAAGATTACAGTGGAATAAATTTGTCCAGTTCTGTGAATTTTTACATCAAGGTAAGTATAATAGAGGGAAACACTGATTTTTAAATCTGCCTTTAGAATGTTTGGGATGGCATTCTAAGACCGCTTGTACTCAAGGTGCCTTAAGATGACTCACTAGAGTAAGAACTGCCAGGTGTTTTGCAGTTTTTAATCTATGTGGGAAAATGGTAACCTAACTCCAGCGTGTTTTTTCATGTTGTAATTTTCTTGCCTTTGGAATTCTTAGTACCGTATATACTCAATCATAAGCCGGTTTGTTTATAAGCCGACCCCCACCAAGTCGGGAAAGTAAAAATGGAAAACTTTTTATAACCCATGCATAAGCCGACCCTATAATTCAGGGGTCAGCAAACTTTGGCTCCCAGGCCATCAGGATAAGCCGCTGGTGGGCCGAGATGGTTTGTTTACCTCGAGCGTCCGCAGGCACGGAGGTAAACCTAAGTAAACAAAGTGTCCCGGTGTGCTAGCTGCTTACCCTGGTGGGGAAATATTTTTGGTGAGGAGAAGCTGGGAGTCAGGGGAGTAACCTCTATGACCACCCCCCACATGACCCCACCCCTAGCCCGGGACCCCCACACTCTCCCCATCCCATCCCTTCCCACCTTATCTGGGGAGGGCCAGGGGAGGATGTCTCTGACTTGGCTGGAGCTGTTCTGGTAGGCTGAGCAGTGCGGCCGCAGCCTGGTCCGGTGGGCCAGACCGGGCGGCGTGGCCGCAGCATGTTCCAGCGGGCTGGGCGGCACGGCCACAGTGTGTTCCTGCAGTCTGGGCAGCATGGCCACAGCCTGCTCTGGGGGGCGGGGCCGAGCGGCACGGCTGCAGCCTGCCAGCCCCGGCTGCAGCTCCGGAGGCTGGGAGGAGAGCAGCGTGGCCAGAAGTGGAGAGAGACTGGCCCCGCCTCTTCCTTTCTGGCTCTGCTCACTGTGCTGCCTCTCCTTGCTCCCTCTGTTGCGGGGAGGGGCTGTGTACCACTACTCCCTCTCTATACCCGTTCATAAGCCAACCCCCTTCTCTGGTGCTTCCCTTTTTTACTAAAAAAATTTGGCTTATGAACGAGTATATACGGTATCTATGTTTTTCCATTTACCTTAACTGATTAGAATTAGAGAATCAACATATTTTTTTATTTTATGGTCAAAGCATCCCAGTAGCAACTTGGTCACTTATGGTGGAGTAGGCTGTTTCATTCTAAATTTCTTAAATCATAAACTGTTCTGGAATGGGATTGTCTCTTCATGTATGTTTGTGTAAGCCATAGCTGACTCTGGCCTACTGCACTATAAATATTTAATAAGCTTCCCTTTTCAGAAATATGTCCTTCAGGATGAAATTTTCTGTCTAAATGCGAATTAGTTTGGAAATCATGGACAAAATTTAGCTCTTCATTCCTTAGCATCAGCACATGAATATTTCTCTTCCTCCACGTTTTAAAGAGAAATCTTGATATTTTTTTGAGCTCTAAAATTTCAAATTTGGTATTTGTGTAATCTTCAATGAGGAACTTATGCCTTATCAATTTGGGAGCTAGTAATTCCTTGTAATGAAGTGAAAATAGCATCATGTGCAATATGTAACTTACCAAATTAAGTAATGTAATTACCAAGGTATGTGCAAGCTTGCACATGTATGGATGTATATTTCAAATGGCATTCAGGTTTTTGCATATTTCCTTGAAAAATAACTTTTTTTTGGTGCTGAATTTCAAGTTTAATTTAAACAAATCAAGAAATTTAGTCTTCAAAAATTAACATTTAGATAACCACATCAACTGCAGTTCAGCCCCACCTACTGCGTTGTGTGGGTTTGTGTTATGTATACTTTGGCGTAACCTAACCACTTATTGAGTTCAATAAAAATTCCCCAGGCACATCCCAGCAGTGGAGTTACTACTGTTGGAATCATAACTTTGAATTTCGTTAACTTGTTAATGCTAAGATGTAGAATTTTAACAAGCTTCCGTATTGACTGTAATTGCAATATGAACACCGGGTACAAAGCTGATTTATGTGAGGAAGTACAGTGATCCATAACTTCTGTATCAGTGCTTGCCAAACTGAGATTCATGGGGGAGCCATGAGCATTTGGGGAAAATTTTTTTAATCAGTATGCTCCCGCCCAATTAACTTTAAAAATCACCTTCATCTTATCTATTGGTGTACACCAGTGGCTTTCAATCTGTGATCCATGGACCACTACGGGCCCGCAGACTATGTCTAAGATTTCCAAAGAGGTCTGCACCTCCATTCAAAACTTTGTAGGGGTCTGCAAATGAAAAAAGTTTGAAAACCATTGGTCTGTGCCTAAAGTTGCTCCTGTTTCCAGGACTGGGAACTTCTCTGTGCCCTCTGCTCCTGCAGGGGGCCTTTAGCACAGAGACTCTCTGCTGGGGGAAGCATTGAGCAGGAAGACTCTCAACTGAAAGTCCTGCTGGCATGGAGGGCAAAGAGACTTCCAGTGCCAACAGCAATAGCATTCACAGATAAGGGAAGGGAAATAAAGGAGACAGGTGCATCTTTTTATAATGGAATGACTTTTACCAAGGGCTAAGCCTACATGTAGCAAACATTCAGCTGAAGAAGGTGATAATTTAAATCAAGTTAAATGGAAAAGGAAGAAAAGTAGACATTGTGATAGTTACATTGTTCGGATTTTCATGTTTTTATATGACTGGAAAATGCATGGCAACAATGTGTCATTTGCTTAAGCATTAGTAAGTGAAAGTATGAGGCCAGGGAAACCAAACACGAGCAGCAATTTTTTTTTCCTTTAGGAAAGAGGAAGAATTTAAGTGGCAAAAATAGTCACTGCTAAAGAAACAACAGTTCCTCAGAAAGCCTTTGAAGGATCTTGTGTTGTGACCATGTGAATTCTAAAATGCAAACAAGCACACAGCATTCGCAAGACCCTTCTATTTCCAAAAGAAATAGATGTGCATAAAATGATGATTGGGGAACAAGCAGCCATGGCCCAGAAAACCATTCCGGTGTCAAATGATGCCACCCGTTGACACATTGATGACCATATGAAAATGCCTACGAACACTTGATAGAACAAATTAGGAAGAGGTGGTATTTTGCACTGCAGCTTGAAGAATCCACAAACATAGCCAATTTGTGTCATCTTCTGTGTTACGTGAGATTTGCCAAAATAGGTACAATAGGTTGAAGAACTTCTTTTATTTTGCAAAGAAATCCCAATCTGAACAACCAGTGAGGAAATACTAAAGTCTTGGATACCTTCATAGCGGATGAAGATTTTAAATGGGTTGTGTGTGTGAGGGGCTGTGCACTGACAGGACTGCAGCTATGACTAGAAAGAACAGTGGGGTTTCAGCATGAGTAAAGCTTTTTAATAAAATCCCGGGCAGTGCTGCTTCCATTTGCTTCCAATTATTTCTGTGATTCTGAGTTTTTAGGAATGATTTCTGTAAAAACTAAACATAGAAATCATTTAAATTTGGAAAACTACTTATGTCTGTAAAAAGCAACAGAGGGTCCTGTGGCACCTTTAAGACTAACAGAAGTATTGGGAGCATAAGCTTTCGTGGGTAAGAACCTCACTTCTTCAGGTGCAAGAAGTGAGATGTCTTGCACCTGAAGAAGTGAGGTTCTTACCCACGAAAGCTTATGCTCCCAATACTTCTGTTAGTCTTAAAGGTGCCACAGGATCCTCTGTTGCTTTTTACAGATTCAGACTAACACGGCTACCCCTCTGATACTTGTGTCTGGTGTCTGTCTGACAGCAAACATTGCACAGCCCCTATGCAGTTTGAAACAGGGCCATTCTTCTCACTAAAATCTTAGGGTATGTCCTAACATGCAAAAAATCCATATGTTCAAATTATAGTTCTAAAAACCCAGATTGAATTAGATAATTAAACAAACTTTATGAAATTGAGTAAAGTTGCACAACTGTCCAAATTCTAGTCTCTCTCTTGAATCTGGTGTCCTAAGTTGGTGGTGATGTGTTTTTTTTTTTTTTTTTTTAAAGGTAGGAGTATGTGGTTGTGGGGAACCTCCCGTTCTCTACCCACCCCACCCCCAGCTCTTAAATATATGTAAGGGAACCACAGTATAGAGCTGTGGTCCCCAAACTTACTACTACCAAGGATTCACCAATAACTTGCTAGGGCCAGAAAACTGACCAAACTATCATATACATGGATTTTTAATCCAAAATTGTTTAGTTCATTGTAGAGTACTCTAAATGTACGCTGCATTCCTTAAAAACATGGACACAAGTTGTTTTGAGGGCTGCAGGGGAAGGAGTACCAGTGGGCAGGATGGAACTTCCTTCTCTGAAACAACTCTCCTGATGAGCTGGCTGTTAAAAGGTGAACAGGCCCATTATGACTTGTGAATATAAGTCCAGTAGCTGATTTGCAATGTTTTTGATTTGTTGAGATACACAGTAGAAAGTCTGTTTGCATATAAATAATTTCAGAGGTTTGTATACACGACCCAGAGCACACACAAGGTGTTTTAATCTTCTTTTGAATCTCCTGCATAAACACAATCATTTAGGCCTGTGTAAAATAATTCCTGAACACATCCTTCCCTCAAATAGAATAAATATGGCTAGCCTGAGGAGCTCTCTATAGTTTTATGGAAGTTACTTGATGTTTATAAACTGCGATCCACATATGCAGTCCATCACTTGATTGGCAGTTCTGCCCAGAACTATACTTGTGTTATTTAAATGTGGTGAGTAGTTAATTATCCCCAAAAGGGGAAGGGGTGGGGGGGAGTTGCAGCCTAAAACTGGGCAAGAGTAAAAGAGTGAAATAACATGACATGCATTCTAGTCTGCAGTAAAGAGTAACATCCCACATGTGCTGTATGTAACAGATAAAATCTTGCCAAAGAGTGAAATCCAACTTCTTGCTTGATTTAACTTTTGAAATGTTTCTACTTTTTTTCTTTAGCTTCTTTCTGCATCAGAGGGTGGGAGACTTCAGGCCATGGCTAACCCCTGTTCAAGTTAACCACATCCTGTTAACTGGCACCTTCTTCCAGGGAGCTGATACTCCTGTCCTTTTGTAGAGTATGTTATAATAGTATGCAGTTCATCTAAATGTGAAAAAAGTGTGGTCCTTCTGCAGCCCTCCATTTTATAATGGCAAGAAGCATTTAAAACACTTCTTTAAAAAATTTCTTATTTCTGTTCAGTTGACATGCCTCCCTCTGAAATGATCCATTTCCATGTTCCATCTCGAATGGGCTCTAAAAATTACCAAGTCCACTCTTCACTTTAAGAAAACATTGAGATGTAATATATTGGCCCAATTTTTTCCTTCACAGTTCATCCTCTGAGTGCTTGGATTCTGCTTTAAATGTTCTGGCTCGAGCACTAGAAAACAACAAAGAGAACCCTGAAATCTGGTGTCATTACCTCAAGCTATTCTCAAAAAGAGGAACCAAGGAGGAAGTGCAGGAGATGTGCGAGACAGCAGTAGAGTATGCGCCTACTTACCAAATCTGGTGGACGGTAAGAAACAAAATAACACAATGTACTTCAAGCACCTATATATAATATAGTGCAAAAATATACAAATACTATAGGTAAGCAGTGAATTGTAGTGTGCAACGGGAGAGTATCTTTTTTTCTTTTTTTCTTTTTCTTTTTTTCCCTGTGCTAGCCAAGCTAATACGTTAGCTTTTAAAAAGATCTAATTTAATGATAAAAAGCAAGGAAATTCACAGTTAAGTTTAAAGTGCTGTCCTTAGCAGGGTCCAATTCCTATTGCACTTGATTTGATGATCAAATTTATCTAAAGGAAGGTGTTACATTCCCTAGATACAAAGGTGTGTTTTTTTTTTTTTAAGGTAAACCTCAATTTAACTTGAAATTTCTTTGCCTTTTGTGAATATTGATTTTCAATAACATTTGAATGGACTGTTGTTATATTGAGGTAATATCTAAAAACACCGTAAAAAGGAGCATTGCATTTGAACCCTAACAGTTTGCTAGTAGTTGTTCATGTGAATAAAATATAAGTGATTTATATAGCTTTTAGCCTTAGTAACTGTACTGAAGTTTTCCCCCTAATAATTATTTGTGTGAAATATTTCTATCTAGTTTTTGAACCTGGAAAACTCTTTTGATGGAAAGGACTATGTATGTGGGAGAATGCTGCAGTTCCTAATGGAAAGTACAGAGGGTGAAGAAAACTCTGATCTCCTGTCCTTTCAGCTGTTGGAGACCCTGCTGTACAGAGTTCACTTAAGCATGTTTACAGGAAGACATCAAAATGCTCTTGCTCTACTTCAGGTGACTATCAAGTTACACATATTTTAACCCCTATTATACTGGATGCTTAAATACTAATTATGGTGAGGTTTTTTTGTTTTTTCATTTAAGCGCCCAAACAATTGCCTTTTTCCTTACTACTTTATGGTGTCTGGAAGTGGAGCTACTAGAATTCTAGGCGAGTTATCCCATTTATTGGCAGAAAGTTGATACAATTAGAGGGATGCTTTTGTGCATGTGTTAATAAGGCAGATTTAGGGAAAAAAATTAACTTCCAAAAAGTTATTGAGGATAATTCCCTCTTGATTGCATGAATTGTTGCTAAAAGGCCGTCTTTAAAAAAAGTTTATTGAATTTTTATCTTACAACTTGGAACATGTATTGCAAAGCAGCAACATTGATTGTTACAACTTGTGAAGTATCTTTATTCGTTATCCTAATTTAATAATCCAAAGCCCTTTCAAGGCAATCTAATGTTGGTGATTTCATATCAACTTTTACAAAAAAATATTTTGAATACTGTGTTTAATATTTGAACCATTGTAAAATTTTGGGTACTACTTTAACTTCTTGGGGTGGGGGAATTATTTATCTGTCCTTCGTTCCTTGTCCTTTACATCATCCTTTGAAAACATTATACCTGCGTGTGATTTTGTTTTCTTTTCACTTTTCATAAGAAATAGAGGAGTTAGTAGTCCTTTTTCCATGGCTGCAGAAATCACAGCAATGACAAGGCTCTGCTACTTATCTGTGAAATGTAGAAAGATATCCTGAAAGACTAGTTCTGATCATTACTAGGTATGACCTGCTAGCAGGTGGAAGTGGGAAACAAAACTTTGATGTCTGTTCCTAGCAAAAGGGAGCTATAATAGCTGCATACTTCAGTGTTTCGTGCCTACCAGCAAGGGGATTTTCTTAGGGTATGTCTGCACTACGAAATTAGGTCGAATTTATAGAAGCCGGTTTTATAGATATCTGTTTTATACAGTCGATTGTGTGTGTCCCCCCACATAAAATGCTCTAAGTGCATGAAGCCGGCGGACCGCGTCCACAGTACCGAGGCTAGCGTCGACTTCCGGAGCGTTGCACTGTGGGTAGCTATCCCACAGTTCCCGCATTCTCTGCCGCCCATTGGAATTCTGGGTTGAGATCCCAATGCCTGATGATGCAAAACAGTGTCGCGGGGGGGTTCTGGGTAGATGCCGTCAGGCCCCTCCCCCTCTGTCAGAGCAACGGCAGACAATCGATTCGCGCCCTTTTACCTGGGTTACCTGTGCAGACAACATACCACGGCAAGCATGGAGCCTGCTCAGCTCACCATCACCATATGTCATCTGGGTACCAGCAGACGTGGTACTGCATTGCTACGCAGCAGCTAATTGCCTTTTGGCAGTAGACGGTGCAGTATGACTGGTAGCCTTCATCGGCTATCTGGGTGCTGGCAGACATGGAGCTGCATTGCTACACAGCAGCAGCCCCTTGCCTTTTGGCAGTAGATGGTGTATTACGACTGGTATCTGTCATCGTCG